TGACGCCTCAGCAGCAGTGGGCGCTACTTCTGAGTGCTGGCTAGTCGAAAGCCGTCTCTAGCGGACGTTTTGCGCGCGTTGTACTACGTTAATTCCAAAAAGTGAAATTCTCGCTGTTGTCGTGTTTCCGTGTTTCTACATGCTTCTAGAAAGGTAGCAGCGCGCGCCAGATCTATTTTAAGAGGCATACGGGATTGGCATAGCGCTATATTCTTTACGATAGAATACAGCAGGCGATAAGAACGCTAATGCAGGCTCATGCATGCTAAGCGATAGTAGCGTATCCCGCCAGCTCGGGCTTGTTCCCTGAGATCTCCTGCTTCGCACTACGGGGCTGCCGGCATGCTCGCTCTCGCATCAGAGCGATCTCACGAGCGTGGGAAATCGATCTTCCTACGTCGCGCTCTCTGTGCAACCCTCCGAGCGCTTCAGTGGTCCTTAGGGTCACTTATAGACAGGGGGTATCGCTAACGAGTTGATTAACGACAGTAACGAAACAATTAATAGCACGGCCAACATAACAGCGATTTATGTCGGACGCTAATGTGCTTGAAGATCAACGGCCTTACAACTATAGTACACTGATAGCAGCTTTACAAGCCCGCGGATGGGAGGCGCCGAAGCTCCGAATCGCCAACCTGTCTCGCGACATAGTGTGTCTCCTCACCTAGGGACGCACCTTAGATAAGGAGAACCCGCACACCTAACCTAAAATAGCTTAGCTGTACAGTAATCTATCGCCGCTAACGCTACATCTGTGGCTGAGTGGCTGAGTAGCTGTGTGGCCGTGCAACGCTTTTGCCAAGCGCTCCGGGACACCCGAAGACCGGTTCGGATTAGGAGCAGGGCTAGGATGGAAGGCCCTGGCGTATAGCTCTGTCAACGAACACACCAAGCATCGAAACCGCGAGCAGCTTCCGATACAGCCATCGTGCAATTTTAAGATGCAGTACGGTGCACAATTATAGAGCTAATACGAAAGCTTGCATGCTATAGAGATAAACCGTCGCGCTGCCCTACAGCTCCGCAGACCCGCCGTTGATCCCTCGTCCAACCCACCACGTTCTCGTGCTGTCGAACACATCGCGACCGATATATATATATACTAAGCCGGTAGCCAAATACTGCTTTAGCTTGTAGGAGGGGGCATAACGCGTTAGGAGGCGTCTGAGAATAATGTGTATAGGACTCACAGCGGGCATAACAGGAGACAGACTAGCTGGCATGATACAGAATACCAAGATTCGAGCCTAGGCTTGCGCAAGCGAAGTGCGTGTTACAAAGGTTCAGCCTTGCACTGCCATATTTAGTACCCTGTGCCTTCAGCTCTGCTACCCCGCCATGCTTCTGCCTTGTGCTATTCAGCCCATAACGTACTTCCAAACCAACACTTCTAGAAACACAGGTAATGCTTATCTTTACCAGTTGAGGGCTTGATGTAAGTTCTCTTCCTACCTTGGACTCTCTAGCTAATGAAGAAGTATTCTAGTGTAGGGTAAAAATGGACATCTTTGTCTACGAACCGATCGATCTCGAGCGTCCCGCATTCCGACTTCTACAGTTACGAAGAGGCAAAGGTCCAGCCATCGAGTGTATGCTGTATCAGGCCTACCTCGATGGTACTGACACTGTGCCGTACGATGCTTTATCATATACCTGGGGCGGTGCGGACAAGACCTCCACTGTGACAGTCAATGGGAAGACATTATATGTTACTGCAAACCTACACTCAGCCCTTGAACATCTTCGCTCGGAAGATGAAGACAGAGTACTCTAGGTTGATGCTATTTGTATTGATCAAGGCAACGAAAGGGAGCGAGGACAACAAGTCCAACAGATGTGCGAGATCTATTCACAAGCGGAGGAGGTAATTGTCTGGTTAGGTCAAGCAACAGAGGAAACTAACATCCTTATAGACTCTCTTCGGCGACTAGAAGAATACACTTCGATGCACGGGCACAGACACTGGGACCTAGCACATTGGACTACATTCTGGCTATTAGTTCCTCAAGATCCGGGTATTGAGCCACGCGAAGGCCTAGATCTGCTCTTAAGGAGACCGTGGTTCAGAAGAGTCTGGATCTTACAGGAAATTGCCAATGCCAAGAAAGCAAGTGTCTGGTGTGGCACCAAGTCTGTCAGGGCACGTACCTTTGCCCTTGCTCCGTCGCTCATAGGCATCAAACCAGAACGTCATTGTCAAGCTGTGTTGGACATCATGCCTGGCCGCTTACGAGAAGAGTTCTGGTGGAGTGAGAGCAGAGACCTGTACAACCTCTTACCGATGCAGATATCGGCTCGTGGCTGCCCACGCTGCATGAGCTGCTGCTGTAAGTACCGAGAGGCCGTTATATGGTCCGCGTGCACATGAGTCTCGAGAATGCGCGTAACAATATACTTATGTTCATCGATTAAGGACAAGAGCGAGTCGGCTGTATCGGTGCTAAGGACGCTGGAGGCTGGATCGAAGTCGAGGATGGAGTCGATTATAATAGCTTTACGGGTCCGCGGATCGGCAACAATGTATTGCTATGTGTTGGTCTTCGGCTCGAAGCATGGATGAATCTCATCGCTTGCGCAATCCGTCCATTGATCATGTCCTGCACGCCTAAGTACGCAGTCTTATTCTGTATCTTTCGCGGTTATATCTTTGCCTTTGTAATATTGCTATCGAGTGATAGCGCATGATGCGTCGCGAGACGTTCCTTATAATTTCGCAACTGTGTGACCACCCGCTGCATCATTGTACGGCGCCTTTGATCGGCGACTTCCACGGCGGCGACTTCGGGGAACAGAGTCAGGCCTATCGCTCCAGAATCCCGATTCGCGTCACCAGTAACTTTAAAAAGCCTTATTACCAATTATCAGTTCGACGTGGACACCTGTTTGTCACACCAACTCGGTTTCTCAACACTCCGTCTTGTCTGTCATCATCCATACCATGCCCATGGACTTCTTGACGACCTCGACTGCAGGCGCCCTCTTTGGGGCCGCGCTAGCATCGTCTGGCGTATACTCACCCTCAGTCATTATCTCACAGATGCAACTCGCCAACTTCCACATGCTCAAAGTCTTTATGGCAGCGAGTGCCAGTAGTGCGTAAGTCAAATTCTAGTATCACCAGACATGTGAGGTCATTGTCACTAACAGACGCAGTCTCGTATTGGCATCGTTTAATAAGCTTGGCTTATCAAACACCAAACCACGGTCGCCCTCGTCACTCGGCCTGTTCAGCCGCTACGACGGGAACATAATCGGTGGTTGTATGATTGGCTTAGGCATGACCCTCACAGGCGCGTGCCCTGGTACTGTACTAGTTCAGCTTACCAGCGGTATCCGCTCTGGATGGTACATCATGGCTGGTGGAATTCTAGGAGGTATTCTGTATACTCGTCTCTCAGGCTACCTCCGCAGGAATCAGGTCAGCATCTCTTCAGACACCGAGCTTACCGTCTACGGCGTATTTGGTGTTAAGAGCCACCACGCTGTCGTGGTGTATGAGCTGCTTTGCCTGGTGCTCATAACTTTGGTGACCGTCCTAGGACCAAAAGGTGCCTCTGTTCCACTCCACCCTCTCCTTGGAGGTGCTCTCATTGGGGCCGCCCAGGCTGCCTCGCTCGTCTTAACTGGGAATGCCGTAGGCGTCTCGACAGGATATGAGGTGATAGGGTTTTACTTCTGGCAAACTTTGGACTCGCTGTTAGGACATGAACCGAGAAAGCTTCCTGCTCCGTTGAAGTCGGTTTATTTTGCTGCTGGTATTGTTGCTGGCAGCTGGGTGTTGGTGCGCTTAGTACCACCAACCATATCAGAAACTGGGATTGACATTTCATCCCTACGCGGCATAATCGGAGGTTTCGTCATGGTGCTAGGGGCAAGAATTGCTGGAGGATGTACTTCAGGCCATGGAATCAGCGGGATGTCTATGCTCTCAGTCTCGAGTATTGTCACAGTTGCTTTTATGTTCGTTAGCGGGTTTGGATCAGCTCTGTTTATCTCATGATTTGATAGCTTATCATACGAGTTTTAGTTGTTTCCCACTTCTTTTCTTCCGCTTGCAGGCATAAGAGGAAAAACTATCAGCGTAGTGTAGATTGTTCAAAACTTTCCCAGGACCCGGAAGCAGCGCTTGAAGCGTCAGCTAAACGTCTCTCGTATGACTTGCGAATTAGTCGGATAATACAGTCACACAGTAGCTTATCATAAGCTACAGCGTTCGACTCTTGCATCTCAATGCTGTTAATTTTAGCCATTATTAACGCTCTAATTTGCAATGTCCGATGTACCCTCAGCATGGCATACACATCGTATCGTCATCTCAGACAGCTCCTTCCTTTTCAGTTCACTTCATTCTTGGCCTCTCCTAAGGACCCTGAGAGCCTGCTTCCCATAGATCCTTGAGGTGGATACTGCGCTCCGTCTCGCTCGACCCTGGGGTCGCAGATGCACCATTGTTCTTTTGGGATTTTATTCATAACGCTGGGAAAATGTTGACCGCAACCACACCAAGTGATCTTGTCTGTTTATATCAAGTTAGCATAACCAACGGAATGCAACAATTATGGGAAGGAAAACTACTTGCTGCAGGTGTTGCACATTGCCTGGAAACACATTTTGTATAGCTGCGACGAACTTGAAAGTGCAGCCTCTGATCTCGTGCGGGGACCAAGTTTCAAAGGTGACGAACAGAAGTCAATCAAAGGTTAATGATGATAAGCGATGAGTTGAACGCAATCGTGATAGGCGATGAAAATACAAAACTTGAGTTGACTTAGGAGTTGGAGCAACCTTTATAGTAACCATTCGGTCGTGGAAACACGTCTGTTGATCGCCGGGTCGGAAAGAGCAAAGCCAGCCCACTTAAGGCATGAGCCGGAAGTCTGACGTTGGTTCTTTGGTCGCCGTCGTGATGACGTCATCGATGTCGGCGACTAAATGAAAATCATCAATGTAGGTGACCTTCGAACCACCTACGTCACGTCTATCGCCGCTCTGGTACCCGAAACCCATAACAGATTTACAGATCCTGCAAAGAGCGCATTGATATTTAGAGGCGCTACTGTCTCGCGGGCCTGAATATCTGCTTTGCTATTAAACTACAGACCGCCATAAAGAAACGACCACACTAAACGTTCTCATAGGTGATTTTGTCCCACCAACACTTAGTCCGCCGTGCTAATGGATACAAGCAAAGCTCACTAATCAGGAAAATCATCCTGGCTACTTTAACCGAGTCTACAGCAACGAGTCCTAGTTGGCTTTACGGGGAATGCGGTGTGAATCAATTCAATGATTGTTAATCAGAGAGAAGACATTGTAAATTAGTTTGGCGTTCGACCACTCCACCGTTCCATCTAAGCTGGCCACGTCTAGCTTACAACCTGATCAGAAAGAGGCCATCAATGACAGGTTCTATTCACCAACGCCAGCTGAACACAATATCCATTCTCCCAAGAGTCTGCCCCCTCCAAGGGAACTATCGGTTGAATTACTTCGGCACGATGAGCACGCACAGCCGTGGAATTGACTGCCAATGCTTCATCCCGCACATAGGTCTCATTATTGCGAAGTTGGCCATCTTCCGTAAAACCCATGACGAGCTCTGGAATGCCCAGAGGTAGGGTGTTGTTCCTCTCATCCCATCTCCAGGTATGAAACGTTTTCCCATACGTTGTTACCAGCGTCTTCATAATTGCATCGTCGACGGGAGTGGGCATCCCAGGTTGGATTAGGGATCCGGAGGTGACTTCGTACGAATGGCTATGCCAAAGCTGCTTCTCTTCTGCCGTCATGTTCATAAAGGCGTCTTGTGATACAATATACTCGATGCCGCGCAGTCTCGCGGGGCTGTAGTGCGGATCGTAAATGATGCATTGGATAAAGTCATCGCTTATGATAGCGCAATGATGGTTGGCTTGCATCTGGTGAGACATTTCCCCGTTGACGAAGTGGAATCCGTTGAAGAACAAGACTGCATTATTCGGTCCCACTTGACCGAAAGGCAGTGAAGACGCAGCGAGCGCTGCGCTGGCGAAGAAGCATAGGATTCTAGAATGCATTGGGGACTATAACTAAATGATTAGCAAACCATAGTCCGATATAACGATTAGGGACATACAAGTAGGGCCAATAGCTTAACCGTTGGTTGATATTGCTTTTCGCTGCAGTTGAAATAGTGCCACAGCTAACAAAGAAAATGTTTAATGATAGCAACGATCGGTATTGAGGAATGTTATGTAGTAGATGAATATCTGGGGTTACTCATGTACTGATACGTAGTGTCGTAATAATTCGTGAGACTCTTACGTCATCTAACATCACCAAAATACATCAATTTTGGTGATGCCAGTCTCACGAATTATTACGACACCTGACTTCTCACTTACCAATCATGACGAGCTAGTAAAGATCGTTCACAATCCATGACGCTGCGCTGCGCAAGCAGATCGAGACCCTAGAATGACGGCCATGGCACGACCAATGAATCATCTTGCTTTATGCTGACGGTTGGACTGAACCCGCAGATAAGGTTCGGCTAAGCATAGCCTGCTCGACACGTCGGCGTAGAACGGTGCGTGCACGGGAAGTCGTGTTTAATATCGCGTGCCGTACATCCGCAGCGACGTATCATCGTGTAGAGGATATCATGCTTTGCATAAATGCCAAGTAGCTACGTCACTTCCACGCTGTCCTCACATCTTCATTGAACAATCTCGTAAAGACTGCGATATGAATAGTGTGTAAACGGTGTCAGTCAGTGTTTCAACTATGCTTATATGATACCAAAGATATATATTCATTTACAGTATATTCACTTGCACTAATAACATCTATCAATCAACCCACTTCTTCCTCAGTCTTCTCTCATACATGCTAACAAACGGCGACCTCACCTTCAATGCAAGGATGATTGCGGGGCTATGGGTTCTTGGCGGCAGTATGTCGTTCTCAATCAGCGGCCTACTCCTAGGCTGGTGTTCATGTCCCTCGAAAGACCTAGCGGGAGATTCAAGTTCTCCTATTTGTGTATGGCAAAAGGTGGGGCGACTGCGACAACAAAGGCGATCCTACAAGCTATTCGCCACATTGAACCCGTTCACTACGCCTATCATGACCCTTTTCTAGTCTGGACTTACCACATTTTTCTAGTCACTCGGCATGCGCGGCTCTTCCTAGTTCTGATAATCATTGGACGTCTTCACCATTAGTTTGGTGTTACTAAAATGCGAGCAAGTTACGCTCGAATCCCCTTTTCCGCATTGCTCACACCAGCATGCTTCCTACCACTAAGCCAGCCAGCCGGGCATAGCTGTAGAGAAAATGCGGCCGAAATCGAATGGCAAATAATCGATCAATCAATGCTTCCTGCCAGCTTCGTTCATGTTGTAGCCATCGCTATCCCAGGCCTACAGTCCTGTTCTCTGTTAAACAAGAACAAGAAAGTTACGAGTGTTTTGATGGCAGCAGAGACCAACACAGCCACGCCTAAGTTTGTTTTCGCGCCCACACCTGCTCCGATGAAGCTCCCTACAACGAGCATAAGGAGAAACAAAACGCGCCTATTCCTCCCACGGTTCTCGGACAACTTCGCAAACAGTTTTCTATCAATAAAGATATCGATATATGCTGCCGTCGCCATTGCTGTTGTAATATCAGTAACCTTCAATCCTCGCACTACTGCGACCTGCGACCCAGACGAAAAAGCCAGCAAACCCACGAGGATCCTGCCGATCGTAGTGTCCGGTCCTACGCTATTGGAATAATGCCATTGTAGACCTCCAGCAATGAAAACAAGTGTTGTTTGCAGGACACTCGATAGGATGAGCCACCCGCGTGTCTGTCCAATATCGAAGTGGTTCGCAGTTTGGCCCGTCGCAAACACACCCAAGCTGAAGAAGCCAAGTGATACACTGATCGTAGAGATCGCAAAGAGGGGCCCTTCGCCATGACTAGGATCGTCAAGCAGGACGCCTACGGCAAAGAGTACGGTGTTGCCAGTTTGATTGGAGGCGAAGCAGTGGAAGTCGGGAAAAGAGATGGCGTCCTGGATTCCGATGGCTATCGCTAGGAGGAGAAGTTCGAATTCTAAAAGAATTGAGGTAAGATCAGGTTCTTGTCTGAAATGGGCGACCGCAGCATTGACGACCCCGAGGCGACGAGGGGGTCGGGCATTCGAATCATCGGACGGCGGAGTTGAGGTGGGAGGTAAAATACTATGCATTCTTTGGGTGGAGGGCTCGTGTGTGCGAAAAAGTGAATCATTGCTTCAAGTGTCCGCAAGAGATTCCTTCTATATTTGTTTTCCATTCGGTCGAGTGTTCGGTGTCTACGTGCCAATGTGCCAGCATTCGGCGACTTTGAAGGCTCTGTTGACGAGGACGTCATAAACGAAGATCCCGAATTGTTGTCCAATCAAGTTACTGCCCTTCGCACCCTCGGCGTCCCACCTCCCGCCTCCCCCCAACAGCAACAAGAGCGTCGGATTTGGCTGCGCGTAGTTTCAGTGCAGACTATTCTGTCCAGCGACTCAAAGCTTTTGCAGGTCTCTGTATACTTTTCTGTGCAACTCGAGAAATAGTAATATCCCCATTGTGTGGCTGCCTGTGTTAGTGCCACGCGCTGTTGATAGAGGGGTCTTCTGCACTTACGGCGCTTGGCGTAGGAAGCTCGGGACCCAACCCTTGAACATCCACCGGGCACCTTCTTGCGCGGTAATGTCCCGCAACATCTGCAGCGTCCCCCGTCGACCGTTTGCCGACATCAGCTTCGTCTTGACAACATCCAGAGGGCTTGTCACAGTCGCTGCCGTCAATCCTGCTACAAACGATGCAGACAATTGCGTTCCTAACGTATCTTCTACAGCCAATCTTTTCATTAGCCAAGCCTTTGCAGCATCGTAGCTGGCGAGCTGAGCTGTGGTTGCTAGGGCGGCACGTCCGCTGTTTGGAAGCCACCCGCGAAACCAACTCCGAAAACCCTCCTCAGAAGTCATGCGGACCAGCCCATTAACAACATTCTTGTAGTTTCTGCGCTCGTGCATAGGTAATGATGTGTCATTCTGCATACGCACATTCAGGACATCCGCAACATTACCGGCGACACCACCAGCAAAGCCTGATATTGAGGCCATGCCGCATAACGTCAAGAAACTGGCGTCAGATGGAAAATGGTGTTTAAGTTCCTCATATATACCGAACCGAACTGTCGAGTACGTTAATTGGCGAAGAAGTGAGGCTGAGATGCCACTGTAGAGGCCTGTGATGCCCTCAGCCTTAATGATGCCGACAAGTGTACTGCCAATCGTCGTGCGTGGCGTTCCGGACGCCTGTGTTTGGAACCGGACCTTGATCATTCTATCAATTCAGCTGGAGCTATGCAAAATGAGCGTAACTGACTTTAACTACCCAATAGAGTCAGCTAATATTATGCAAAGGAATGCAATCCTCAACGTAAACTTACTGAGCTCGAGCGGATGAGTAAAACACGTTGCCATCGCAGCAGCGCTGCCACCAAACCAGAACGGGTAGTGAACTCCGCTGCGAGCGACCTCTATATTTGAAGTACTCATTGATAGCGAATGATGTACGTATCGTAGATGTCGAGATACCTTCGCAGTGAGTTCGATCAGTTTACGTAGATATATAATTCAACGTCATTAGCAATATATAATACATTCGCAAAGCCTTAGTGATGGGCGCATCCAGCCTAACACCATCCCGGGCTGCCTCGGTGAGCACGAGCTATTTTCGTGGTCCTTTGAGCCAGTCGCCGATCATCCTGCCTTCGGTGACTTGAGTTGTAACGCGGACAAGCAAGTAAGGATGTATAATTTACGCCACTACTGTAAGAGCAAGCAATTACTATCGGCTCGTGTTACAATTATGCAGAAGGTCCTGCCATCACATCCGTATACATGTTAGTGAAGATAAGTCTTTGAATTTTGTCGTTCGTGACAATTACATTAACATCGCCAACCTGGAATCCGCAGTAACACTACGGGAATTAAACCAAATCGTAGAATTCTGTCATATCTACAGCTTACCATTCAGAATCGAGCACGCTATCTGATCCAGCCTTTCGGTCCGCCCCAGTGACCAGTCACATGGAAACGGTCGTATACCCAGGGGAAGAAGTCCTTCTTCAGGTGATAGAACGCGCGACGCGGAACTGCCTGATCGATACCAAACCATTCGTTAAATGTTTCCTTTGGAACACCGCCGTACTTGAATTCTGCCAGAAGCACTTGCTTATCACCTGTTAGCAGCGGACACGACGTGTAGCCGTCATAATCTGACGAAGGCTCTTTTCCCGCCATGCTAAGTAAGATGTTCTTAGTGAGAATAGGTGCCTGTGACGTTATTGCAGCCACTGTTTTCGACGTAGGTAGACCCGACGCATCGCCCATAGACCACACATTCTTGTATGTCTTGTGACGTAAAGAATGCTGGTCAACGTCTACATAGCCTGCTTCGTTGCTGAGACCGCTCTCTTTCACGAAGGCATGTGGCACGTTTCGAGGCGCAACATGAAGGAAGTCGAACTGTCGCTGTACCTGCTCTTTCCCACCGGGACGGTCAAAAGTAGCAGTGTTTCCGTCTATCGAAACAAGGTTGTGCTCGAACAATCCTTCGACCCTTTTCTTTTCTCGTAACTCGTTGAGCTTGACGCTGTATTTTGGCACGCCGAACATCGTGGGCAAGCCGGTTGCGAAAGTAACCTTGATTGGTGATTGACCAGGCCCATAGTCATACAGGCCCGCCCGCTTCCAGTAGTCCAGTGCAAGCCACATGATCTTTTGAGGTGCGCCCGCACATTTAACAACACCAGCTGGTTGAGTAAATATTGCTGCGCCTTTTTTCGTTCGTTGAATGTTTCGGAAGGCTTTGTCGCAATAGTCGTAGCTATAGATGGATGCTACGAGGCTGTCTGGATCAGCCATGGATTCGGCAAGACCCTTAACGCTGCCGTAGTCGATCTTGATGCCGGGTGCAACAACGAGTTGCTCGTAGTTTATCCTTTCACCATCCGCAAGCGACACGTAATTCTCCTTTGGATTAATGGCCGCAACATTCTTGTTGTAAAATGCGAGTTTGGGTTCGATGAGCTCACGTAGCGGCCTTTGGAAGTCATCTTTGGTTTTCAATCCGCCTCCCACAAGCGTCCAACCTGGCTGATAATGATGCAATGTTGCTGGGTCGATGACTGCAATGTCATCTTTCTTAAATTTCCCCTTGTGGAGAAGCTGATGACTTAGTGCGATCCCAGCTGAGCCACTACCAACAACAACAACTTTATGGTTCCTGAATGAGGTGCTCGCAGGCGCGACAGTGGCGAGGCCACGAAAAACGTTGGAACGGTTTGTGCTGGTCTTTAAACGACTCGAGGCCAACGCAGCGCGGTTGCGCAATGCGAACATTGTGGCGAATAGGTTTCGATGTAGTGTATGGGAATCGGAGACGAAAGTATAGATAAAAGTAAAATTTCGCAAGTAAATGAGAGTTTAAACTGCAGCAACAATTTCTGTCAGTGTTCTTTGTTAATAAGTTCTGGACCTTGAAAGCTATGACGCCTGCCGATGAGGCGACAACGGGGAAGGCTTGCATGTTTGCTGACTCACATCGGGGTTCTAAGCAGTAGTCGCCGAACCCTGCACCTGTGTTAAGATGACGCCATGGGCTGCAAATGCCCGAGCATAAGATAACACAAATAGATTTCGCAAACCAGGCGACACGAAATCACACTTTTATTTGCAGACCTTCTTTAAATATTAACAACCTTCAGATGACGTCCAGGACCACCCGACCGATTCGATTATTATCGACCATAACACCTCCTTGTACGACGATATGCGCGGTCGCAAAGCAACAAAGCCGCTCGGTGCATCAGCGAGCCTTCACAGAATTCAGTGCCGTAGGACTTGACTTGGCAAGTCGCACGAAACCCATCGATCGCGCAGCTAGGACGGGCCTTGTTGCCTCAACCTCTATCAGGCCCATCCCGAAGCCTACCACACCAAGATATGGTGGCCGAGCACGCTACAGTACTGAAGTACCCATGACTCCAGAACCGAACGTCATAAGCTTGTTTGAGAAGCGAACTGGAACCTGGCAATATGTGGTTGCAGACCCTTCAACCAAGAAGGCTGTCATTATCGACTCTGTGCTCGATTATGACCCGACAAACCAAGGCATCAGCACTTCGACTGCCGACGCATTACTAGCAATTGTTTCGGAAAACAGCTATCATATTGAGAAGATTCTAGAGACACATGCACATGCCGATCATTTGACGGCAGCTTCGTACCTCCAACATCGTCTCCACCAACAACAAGGCTTCAAACCGCCCATTTGCATTGGGCAACGGATCAAGCAAGTGCAGGACCTGTTTGCTGCAAGGTATAGCATTCCGGCTGATGAGTACGAGGGAGTGTTTGACCATCTTTTCGAGGACGATGAAGTCTTCAAGATTGGCCAATTAACCGCGAAAATCATTCATCTCCCTGGACACACCCCTGATCATATAGGCTACCAAATTACAGGTGAGTACCTTGGTGGATCTTTAGTAGTCTAACAACAGTACTAACCCTGTCGTAGGCAATGTATTTTGTGGAGATTCTATCTTTCATGCGGACATTGGTACTGCACGATGCGACTTTCCTGGCGGCAGCGCAAAAGACTTATTTGAGTCAGCGCAGAAGTTGCTAAAGCTTCCAGATGACGTTAAGGTCTGGACAGGTCATGACTATCCGGCCTGTCCTGAGCGTTGTGACGCCGTGCCTTGGATGACCGTGCAGGACCACAAGGAGAATAATAAGCATATTTCTAGCGACACGCAAGAGAATGCTTTCCTTACCATGCGAGGAGAACGAGATGCAAACCTCCCGGCGCCAAGATTGCTAGATCCTTCTTTGCAAATAAATATCCGTGCTGGCAGACTACCTCGTCTGACAAATGAAGGCCAACGTCTCATGCATCTCCCACTAAAGCTGGATGGCGAGGGTTGGTAGCGCAGAATAGGCAGCGTAGACTTGGCACGAACGGTATGAGATATCTATGGTCATTTCACGGCAGGTCTCCTGTAGTATCACATTATAAACGCCTAATATATTTTAAAGCGCGATAATACACATAACGTGGTTCATAAGCGAGCGGCCACCCCAAGCGAGTGGCCACCCCAACACCATCGCAGCGCACGCGCAGCAATATCATCTCATGTCTCAACAACGCAACGTACAACCAGCTTATACTGAAGGAGACATAACCCTAGCTGTCTCTAATATTGAATCAAACCAGAACCTAAGTGTAAAGCGTGCTGCAGCAATCTACAATGTCCCCCGAACGACCGTACGCCGCCGACGCGCTGGACAACGCTCTCGACGCGAATGCGAGCCGAACTCGAAGCGCCTTACAAAGCTAGAAGAGGAGGTGATTGTGCAGCGCATACTAGATGAATCTCTACGAGGTGTACCACCCTCAAAGGCACACGTACGAGATATAGCTGATAGACTGCTGAGAGAGCGTGGTGGAAAGCCTACAGGCAAGAACTGGGTTGATAACTTCATTAAGCGTACACCTGAGCTGCGAACGCGATGGAGCCGTCCGTACGATCACCCGCGAGCTGTCTGTGAGGACCCAGCGGTTATCAGGCCATGGTTCACGCTTGTTCAATCAATAAAGGCGAAGTATGGTATCACAGATGAGGATACCTGGAACTTTGATGAGTCTGGCTTTATAATGGGCAAGATATCCTCTCAGCTTGTTGTTACAGGCTCAGAGAAACCTGGGAAACAGAAGAAACTACAGCCTGGCGATCGCGAGTGGGTAACTCTAGTACAAGGCGTCTCTGCGATAGGGCGCGTTATCCCGCCCTTCCTCATCTTTGCAGGGAAGGTCCTTATCACCTCCTGGTTCGCAGATCTACCTCGCGACTGGATTATTACTGTCTCTCCTACTGGCTGGATCAACAATGACCTCGCGCTCGCGTGGCTTAAGCACTTCGATGCTCATACGAAGGCGTCCTCTACTGAGGCATATAGGCTGCTTATCATTGACGGCCATGACAGCCACTGCTCAGTAGATTTCCAGGACTACTGCAAGGAGAACAAGATTATCGCTCTCTGCATGCCACCTCACTCATCGCACTTCCTGCAGCCTCTTGACGTTGTCCCCTACTCGCTGTTAAAGCGCCACTACGGCGATGGGATCTCGCTCTTGGCACGCAGCCGCATCCACCATGTTAACAAGGAAACCTTCCTACCAGCCTTCAAAGAAGCTCATAAGAAGACGTTCACACCAGAGAACGTTCGCGCAGGCTTTCGAGGTGCTGGACTAGTCCCATATGACCCAGAGGCTGTGTTATCGAAGCTGGATGTGCAGCTGCGTACGCCTACGCCGCCTGCACCAGGCACAGTCGCCTGGGAGGCGCAAACACTGCGCAACGCCCGCGAGATAGAGGCGCAATCTATGCTAATTCGAAATCGCATGCAAAACTACCAAGGGTCACCAGCAAGCTCATTAAATGAGCAGCTTAAGCAGCTAAGTAAAGGCGCTCAGCAGATCGCTCATAATATGGTGTTAGTGCAGGAGGAAATGGGCCGCCTTCGAGACGCTGTTGATACGCTTACAAAGCGCAAGACTCGCAAAAGGCGGTACGTACGCGCAGAGGAGAATCTAACAGTTGGTGAGGTATCTGACTTAATTGCTAAAATGGACGGTGGTAGGCGTGAGGACGGCGAGACGCCTGCGAAGAGTGTGCGCACAGAGAGGCGCTGCGGCCGTTGCAGCGAGGTTGGGCACAACTCCCGCACCTGTAGGGTAGAAATAGAGGATGTAAATAATAGCGACGCTTCTGAATAATACTGTAGTATTGCGTATAATATAGTAATCTGTTGTAGTGTTGTGCTGCGTTGCTACGCGTGCGCTGCACTGGTGTTGGGGTGGCCGCTCGCTTATGAACCACGTTACTTCTGTGAATCAACGATAACTTGCATGTGAGCGGTTGGCGCACACCTTCATGATGAGCGCTATGCTCTACTTTCCTCTCCGATCTACCACAGCACTTTTTGATGCAATCTTAGCAGATGGCAACCCTGACGTAAATCGCTGTCCTGTACAATGCGATGAGGAAATAAAGGTGACTATCTGAGAAAGTATGATGAGCTGGCTGGAAAGCTGCAGCGCCCCGCTTCAATTGATGGTCAGCTAATTCGATCGTCGCAAACGCCGGTTCTTCACCATCCTTCCAAAATATATGAGCCAACCTTTCAAATATCATAAAATACATGAATACATAAATACTATGAGATATCCAGGAAGTGCTCGGCAAGAGTGCCAAAGCCATTACATGCCCGAATGATGCGTGAAACCGAGGACAGTCGACTCAGGTGTCCATCTGCCAAGGATGATCATTCAAGAAAGTATCATCCAAAAGTGTCTATTTCCTCACTAGATCAAGAGGCGAATTTCTCCGACTTCTGTTTCCCTCTGTACTTGGAAATTCGATAAGGTGGCTTGCTAAGCCTTTGAGGTCGTCGCCAAGGTGGCGGAGTGATCGGGGATCATTTTGTTCCTTGACTTGATCGCCGATTAACGCGTTCGTCGTCTGGAACCCGTCGCAGTTGCGTCCGATTGGCCTGGGGAAACTGCCAAGGTGACGCTTGCCGCAAAGAAGGCTCGCTTTATAGCTGCTGAAGCTAGTGTTGTTGCACTACAACGCATCTTCTCCAATATATGAACAGTTCGCCCGCACACGATGTTTGCAATCATACCTTCATACGTTCAGGATATTATCCTGATACGTGAACAGAAATTGAGATGGACAAGGATACTTATATTACTAGACTAAGGAGCAAAATCCTTCAAACCACCACCCCGAAACAATCGCAAAGCCGCTTTGCAGTTCCGGAGAGCCTCCCAAGCGGTGTCGTGCCATATCTCGAGGAGGAGCCCACGGTCAAAGAATGGCTCTGCAGCTTCAGGCTCACTCGGCAAAGCATCATCAACTTCCTTTGCAGCCTCTTCCCTTGCACGTCATGGCTTAGGCGGTACAACGTCCATTGGTTGCTAGGGGATGCTATAGCCGGTATTTTGAGGAGCTCTCAATTACCAGTTTTGAACTTGTGCTAATTAACTGTAGGTCTTACTGTTGGCTTTGTCGTAATTCCTCAAGCCATGGCATACGCTCTCCTTGCGGGTCTTAGCCCCGAATATGGACTGTACACTTCCTTCATGGGAGCCGCCTTGTATTGGATTTTTGGAACGTCCAAAGATGTCGTTATCGGGGTTGGTAAAATTTTGAGCTTCGTTTCAGCAATCATACTAATTTTGAACAGACTACAGCTGTTGGCTCGCTTCTAGTGGGCGAGGTCATTACCACGATTCAAACCGAAAGGCCAGGCGAGTACACCGCTGAAGACATTGCGAAGGCCCTCTCGCTTCTCTCCGGCTTCGTCCTTATTTTCCTAGGATTATGCCGGCTGGGTTGGCTTATCGAGCTGATCCCATACATACCCGTTTCGGCATTCGTAACATCCGCAAGCTTTACCATTATCGGTACGCAATTGCCAGTTGCACTAGGTATAACTGGTATCAAGACGCGTGAAGCACCGTACAAAGTGTACATTGGCATCTTGAAAGGACTTGGGCGGACGCAACTAGACGCCAGTATCGGCCTGACCTCTATCGTTCTTCTGTATGTCTTGAAGAATCTTTTCACGCATCTCGAAACGAGGCAGCCGAAAAGGAAAAGGTTATGGGCTACTCTAAGCTCATTGAGAATGACCTTTACTATTCTTTTGTTTACCCTAGTCAGCTGGCTCGTACATCGAAAACGACCACGCGACGATCACGCATTTCGAATTGTCGGTCATATCGATTCAGGTAGGATATTTTTCGAGAGAGAAAAAAGCAATGCTGACTTGTCTGATAGGCTTTACACATGCCGGTGTGCCTAAGGTCTCGAGCGAGCTTTTTGGGCTTGTTGCCCCTTCTCTTCCGTCAATCATTATCATCCTCATTGTGGAACATGTTGCGATTGCGAAAGCTTTCAGCAGACAGTTCGGGTATGAAGTCAACCCATCCCAGGAGATACTCGCCCAGGGATCATCAAACGCGTTGGGAACATTTGTTGGCGGATACGCCTGTACAGGATCTTTCGGTGCATCTGCAGTGCTTGCGAAGTCTGGTGTGAAAACACCTCTTGCAACCTTCTTCAGTGCTGTTATCCTGCTTTTAGCTCTGTACGCGCTGACATCCGTCTTTTATCACATTCCCATGGCTGCGCTTGCGGGCTTGATCATACACGCAGTTGCCAACTTGATGACGCCACCGAGCGCGCTGTATCGGTATTGGAGGCTCTCACCATTTGAGTTACTGATTTGGGTAGTGGGAGTTGTTGTGGCGATGTTCGTGAGCCTTGAGACGTCGATATATACGACTGTGGCGCTCTCTTTTGCCCTTTTGCTCGTACGAATGGCAAGATCGGAAGGTAGTTTTCTCGGAGAGACATTGGTCTACCGGCTCGCGCTGCCATCGAAAAACTCGGAGTCTGGAGCGGAAGATCAGGGAAGCAACACAGAGACGCGTGCTGGAATGCAGACAACAGGGAAAATGGTGTACCTGCCATTGAATCCTGGAAACTCAACCCCTAGGATCCAGATCTCAAAACCATACCCTGGCATCTTCGTCTACAGGTTCAACGAAGCCTACAACTACGTCAACAAAGCTCGACACATGGATCGCCTAACATCCTATGTCACAGCAAACACCAGACGGACGAGTTCGCAGGATAGGATTCCTCTCAAGGTGAGCTACTCAGAAATTGTTCATGCCTCTCAAGTCCTGATGTCTCAAATAGGATCGTCTCTGGTCGGATCCTCCTACGCCTGCATCACACAGTACGGCAGGCAACCCTATCTTGCGCGCCATTGTCCTGGACTGCTCGACAATCAACAACCTGGACATCGCTAGCATACAAGGTTTCCAAGATGCGCGGAGAGTCATGGAAAAACATGCAGCGCCTGCATTAGTGGAGTGGCACTTCGCTGGACTCCACAATCGATGGGCAAGGCGAGCGCTCGCCCAGGCGGGTTTCGGGTATCCTGCCCAAGAAGAAGCAAACTCGAATACGAACTGGTGTCCTACATACGCAGTGGCGTGCTCCTCGATGATAGCGGCTGAGCAGAGATCGGAGACTGTCGCATACGGAAGCCACAAGGATGGAAAACCTGATGAAGAGGTGGGCAAGGTGACAGACTTGCCCGTGGTCGAAGAGACAGCTGTGGAGCCGGTTTATGGACTCGATAGGCCGTTCTATCACGTTGATGTTCCAGATGCAGTGGACGCCGCTGTTCGAAATGCAAAGAAAAGAGATGGCGTGGTGGACCTTTCTCCATGCGATTCATTGGGCTAATGGAGACTCAACTGGCTTGCGTTGTCTGTCACCACAACAAGAATTGCCACTCAACCTAGCTGTATATATAGCAAGCAAATTCGTTGGTACCACCCCCAACTTCAGGTTGCAGTGCAGAGCGCTTGATTACGCGCGTTAATGCTCTACCGGGCTAAAAAAAAAAAAAAAGCCTGTCTTGTGCATAACAAGTATGCATTCTTTTCACACAAGGAAAGAGACAAAGAAAGGGAATCCATTTGCGGACGTAAACATTCACACTCGGAGGACCGCGTCTCGTGAGCGAGTAAACATCGTACTACAGTAACTTCCGCACGGTAATGTCTTGCCTGTACCCAGCTCGTGATCTTTCCGCAACTCATTTTGAGTACTCGTATTGCGCTCGGGTGCGGGACTTTAATCACCAGAACGTTGCAAAGAAGCAGGCACCATTGTCGCATCCGCGCCACCGAGACCCACATCAGCCTGTATGTCGACGGAGAGTAAAAGGAAAGAGGCGACTAACAGAGTTTCCATCTGTGGACCGAGACTGAGACGTCGAACATTTGCCACAATAGATCCGCTCTTCCCTTACTGTATTACGTTAGTGTTGACGTGGTAATGCTGCAAGTGGCTTGTTCAGGGTTTCACAGGGTTCTTCGGGCTCTTCGGGCTCTTCGGGCTCAAGTTGCCAATTGACGATCGGCAACGAACATCAATGTAGATCCGCATATTATCAGAAAAATGCCTCAACTATGCGTTGCTTTGTTCGTGTGGCTAGAATTTTATCTCACTTGAGCGCTCGCTGGACACAGGCTCTCGCGTATTTAGAACTAGCAGTTGGCGGTGAAGCTACTCTAAGTTGTTCCCGATACCGCAAGGATGTGGCGGTCGCTGAACGACCAGTCCGTTAGTATCTCTGTGCGTAACATCGGTCGTGTATATAGTAACAGCAGTATTCTTTGTTCTCGCTCTTCAACCGCTCACCTTCGATAGCGATAACAATTTTCCTTCTTGAATATCATGTTCATTTTTTTGCTGTCCTTCATATCGTACGGTCTCCTATCATGCGCATCACAACACGTTCACGATCAATCGTTCACGCCTACTTATGTGCTTCGGGCTACGGCCCAGAACATAACCATCGACTGCGAATCACGTTATTCCGTTGTGATCAATGGCACCGACCCAGGACCGACACTTCGCTTGCGAGAAGGCACCACCCATTGGATAAGGGTCTTCAATGATATTCATGACCAAAATTTTACCATACATTGGCATGGATTGTCTCAGCGCACCGCTCCGTTCTCAGATGGCACTCCTCAAGTTGCACAATGGCCAATTGCTCCTGGTCGTTACTTCGATTACGAAATAAGACCAGAGATTGGAGATGCCGGCACCTACTTTTACCATTCTCATGTTGGTTACCAGGCCATTTCAGCACATGGAGCGTTGATCGTTGAGGACTATGAAAAACCTCCTTACGATTACGTGAAAGATTTTACGCTGCTGATGGGAGACTACTACAACCATACAGATGAAGAAATCGTTTCCGGTCTCGAGGCTGATCCTTTTGATGGAGCTGGACCGGTTCATGCCATTGTTATCAATGGACAGACAGGAAATACCGGACTCGCGCATGCGAAGGACAGTTCATGTGCTCCACTTGTGATCAAGGTATCGCCCAGCAAGACATACCGACTAAGGTTCATTGGAGGCGGCGCAAAAACGATTGTGACGCTCGGTATCGAAGAGCACACGGACCTCGAAGTCATCGAGGCTGATGGCGCATACACAAAGATGGTTACTACTGATCATGTGAATGTTGCTCCAGGGCAAAGGTTCAGTGTATTACTCCATACCATGTCAGAGGCCGAACTGCGAGCTACTAACCGGTCCACGTTCTGGATTAGTTTCGAAAATCGAGAGCGACGCCAAGATTGGTTTGGTTACGCCCTTCTGCAGTACGAATCCTCGAACGAAGTACTACCACAGGAGCTCCCAGTCAAGTCACCTGTGACTTTGCCAGAGACAGTCTACGATTGGATGGAGTATGCTCTTGAGCCCCTGGATCATTCCCAACAAGATGAGTTTCCCCGCATTTCTACACGGACTCTACACATTCGTGTTGCACAAACGGGGCTTTGGGACGGGAAAAAGTTCACAACTGCTTCTCACTGGGCAATGAACAATGTTTCCTGGACTGAGGATATCCCACGGTCCCCTTACATGATTGATATTTACAAGAAGGGTGAAGCAGCGATACCCAATTACGAAGCTGCGTTGTCAAACGGCGGCTGGGATCCCGCAAATCAACTGTTTGTAGCGAAGATTGGTGAGATCATTGACATTATCTGGGACAACAGCAACAGTCCTGCTACGCAATACCATACACATCCCCTCCACGTTCACGGTGGGCATGTCTGGGATATCGGCAGCGGGAACGGAACCTACGATCCTATAGCCAACAATAAGAAGTTGGAGGGCTTCACACCTGCGAAGCGCGATACAACCCTTCTGTATCGTTATTCTTTCGACGGCGTTGCAAACAGTACGGTTGGTTGGAGAGGATGGAGACTTAAGGTCGAGGACGCTGGAGTGTGGCTAATGCATTGCCATAGCTTACAGCACATGGTTATGGGTAAGTTCTCTTATAATTCACATCTCTTTGGTTCAACTGCTTGGCCTATTCAATTATTTTTTTACGAAAAACGATCTGACATCGAGATTTTCTAGGGATGCAAACCGTTTGGGTGATGGGTAATGCCTCTGAGATAACCGGGTCTTACCCACAGCCATACATATCTGGTTATCTTGACTACGGAGGCTCGGCATACGGAAATGCTACGTACGATCCTCTTGTCACACACTTCTTTCCCCAGGATTGAGTTATTAGGAAACGAGTTGCCAGCAGAGATGTCAACAATCAATCTGGATTGATTGGCTTGGTTGATTCGAATCAGTCTGCTCATTCAATCAAGCCAATCTCAAGATATTTGTAGATCTTTTACCTATTTAGGCTAGCTGGTTACCTATTTAGGAAGATAGCTTCTATCAATCCTACCAATTCAATCTACTCATTTTGAAAGAGCTATCAATTCAATTCAATCTGAGGTGCTCAGATTGATTGGCTTGATTGTTAACAAGTCTGGTTGCCAGTGTAGCAATATATATATACGAAGTGCTCTACAAGCAAGTAACTACCCCCGAATGACTGCTCAATTTCAGTAAGTTTCTATTCTACTTAGAGGTAATTTCGCGTGCTGTTGTTTAATTTGGCTTGTGAAGGTATCTGGTAACTACCCCATAATAAGACGACCCACGGGCAACCAGTATCGCCTGCAATGTGAACGAGGTGCGTAGATGATCTTGATCGCCTCCGGGTTGGCGATGGCGACTTTCTCCAGTAGATGAACCTACACAATGGCGTTATCGCACCACCGGTTCTCGCCCCATCCACACCAACGCGCGTCGCGCCACACACCCCGCATTCGCATGCGCATCGCATATTGCAGTCTGCATGATCTCGATGGGCATCTCTAATGGGTATCAAGATGTAATGGTGCGGAGTTGTGGCTGTCTAGATATACAACGTGGCCGGCAATAGACTGGTCTGCGAACCATAGCTGCATGAACACGAGGTATGTCTGCTTCTGCCCCCGCACCCCCCTCCGGCTGCGCATAGCCATATAACCCAGGGCGCTAAATCTACCGTTATAAGAGTAGATTACTTTATTCGTGATGTAAGCTACGCGTACAGCAGGTACGGGTATATCTGAGACTTTGGGGTACAACAGATTATTATTTCACGGGTAACGTACGGTACCGAGACTGACGGCCGTGTGGGCCCGACGGCCGTTTGGGCCACCCACCAAAAACGATTATCAACTTCAATGATCGATAACTCCTCCACCCTGAGCCGGATTGAGGCTGCGATCGCCGCAATCGAGTCGCTTGAACCAGGAGAACAATTCAGCTATCGCAAAATTGCAATATATTATAGTTGCAGCCAAACGTCGCTCGCTCAAAGACACTAAGGCCGATTATGTTCGCGCGAAGCCATGGCACTTAATCAACAATCTCTCCACCCACAACAAGAGCAGGAGCTCCTAGGCTATATTGATCGCCTCACAGGGCAAGGATTACCACCTAAACGGGCTATAGTTCGATCGCTTGCCTCTCAGATTGCCCATAAAGAGCTTGGAGTATACTGGGTTGATCGCTTTGTGCAGATGTAGCCCGATAGGCTGATCTTAAAATGGACTACCAGCATAGGCAACAGTCGCCACAAAGCTGATTAAGCAAGAAGTACAGTCTCTACTTTAACCTTCTACGCGATAAGATTAACTAATATCACGTCGAGGCGCGTTATCTATACAATATAGATAAGAAGGGCTTTATGCTTAGAGTTGTAGGACGCTCGAAAAGGATCTTTAGCAGGGCTTCATATGAGGATTGGGAAACTAGAAGTATTATACAGGATGGCTCTCGCGATTGGATCACATTCCTGGCCTGCATCTGCGCTGATGGATCTCACCTCAGTCCTGCCCTTATCTATCAGTCAGCCTCAGGATTGATACAGGACTCCTAGCTTCAAGGCTTTGATCCAAACGTCCATTAAGCTTAAGGTGGGTGCTGGGCTGATGAGTGTTAGGTTGCTGGGACGCAGTTTTTAAGAGGTCATGAACTTCATAACAATTCTATGCGAGCTCGCGTCTTGCCTAGATGTTCTTGCCGTACTCTCTGGGACTTAGCTTCTACGTGGGTAAATCGAGTGTATCTGTAGGTATACGGGTGCCCATGTGCACAGACTATCGCATTCGGGATCTGTAAGCTGCGCACCCATACAAGGCGTACGGCAAATCCAAAAGAAGCAATATATTTCGTGTAGAGAAGGGACGTTTGCACTCTCGCTACAAGAGACAGCATTATGCGGAGGACAAAAACAAGTAAACACTGTGTTAAGAATCACCGTTACTACTATACAAATCATACACCCTAGGGGAAGTTGCACGCGCTGTATGCCGTTGCCTTCGTGATAATAAAATTACCGCCTCTCTTGATCTTGCTGTAATCCCAGCCTGTCTAGCTCCCGCTAACTAATGCTAGACAGGATAAGCAGAGCACGTAGTCTAGGCGAGAGAAGGCATCCAAGCACCTTAGAAAATCAGGCAAACAAGGCGAATAGAAGGAACGAGGCAGACGAGTCTTTCTGTGTATCCTATCTATGTTATAAATGTTAGCTCTCCTTCTTGTCTGCCTTTAAATTCTCAACTTCCTAAGTCTCTTCACCCTTAAGACAATAAGTAAACTTTATCACGGGCTATTATGCCTGAACCTGCGCCCTAGCCGACATCTACCCCTATACCCTAACCAACATCTGCTCCTCAGCCGAGATCTACTTCTTCACCCCAGCCAAGATCCCCTCTAACTGCAATAGAAGCAGTACAAATTACGAGACGATTCCAGAATAACATCGCCAACATAATGTCTAGCAAGGGTATCCAACTCTACGAGAATAGAACAGTCAACGTTCCTATTACGTTCATAGATATGTTTAATAACGGAGACTGTTTGATAGGAAACGTTGAACTCTTGCATCTCGCAGGCTCTATCAGTAGGACGCTGAATTACAGCAGCGATGAATTGTCTCGATTCGTTGCGAAGACGACTCTTCCTCGACTTCAGCAGCTAGCTTCCGAACAATCCAGGACCACTCCCATCACGAAGGCGCACTGTGTGCAAATATTCCAGAGCATTAAGCTTGTCACATACCTTTGCAGCAAAGTCACGATCAAGACCTAACAGGGGGTATATACTAGCACTTTAACAGGGGCACAGAATATCTTTTCAAACCCTAAACGTAGTTACCTATTAAAGGTATCGGGAGATAATAAGTAGGACATATATATCAATTTTAGTAAATTAGCGGAGGGCCTTATAACGATTTCGCTTTTGGCTCTTCCAACGACTCTGCCGGATACACCTCGCCCTAGTCCTCCTTGCTAGACATCCTCTAACACAAATCCTTTCCCTTGCTCACTATAGTAGTAATATGGCGATTTCTGTGGCTCACTAAGAAAACGGTGGTATATATGTGTTACCCATGAGGGGTCGTGGTAGGTTAGTGGAGTGGTTGTGGGTGTGGAGCAGGATCAACGGATAACCTCATTCAAGTTAGAGGTCGAGTTAGAGGTCGAGTTAGAGGTGGAGCTGAGCTTAAGCTTCGAGGGGCTTTTCCACCAGGAGACAGATCCATGTACAGTTCGCGGATGTAGTAGGTTTAGCAACTAATAGTGTTAGAGGAAATTGCGGATAGTATCTAGATATCTTACTAGAAACGAATAATCTAAGAGCTGTGACATCTTAAACTTAAAAACTAAAACTCTAAGTGCTATAGCAGCCCCGAATAGAAGCAGAGTGAAGGCTAGATATAGAACCCACCAGGTAGAGCCTTTAGTAATGTATGCGTATACCATACCAAAGACAAGAGACATAACGAACGGTGTATATATCGTTAGGAGACCTGCGGCTATCCCTATTCCAGCGAGGCTGAGAAGCACCACAGTCCATATACCCGCCTTCTGCCAGCGTCCGAGGCCTGGTAGTGGATAGAACCATTGCTTTGCACCTAACTAGACGCACACGTTAAACATGTCTTCATCATCGTATAAGGACTTCTTACCAAATCGAAGATAGAGAGGGTACTAAAGATAGCCCATTGCGCACTCAGCCCATATTGAGTGAGACCGCACGATGCGAAGGCGATGGATAAGATGCAGAGGAGGAAGGGAACAGCTTCCGAAAGTCGTGAGAGGAAGATTGGATCGGACCATAGGCTCGTCGTCCGATCGGCGTGTTCGAATCCACGGTAGTTTTTCACAACCATTGCAAAACGGATGAGTCCGACGATGGCAGAACAGATGATAACGGCAACATTGGTGGGATACATGTTGAGAATAAGAGTACAGATGCGCGATACCTAAGGGGTCGATGCACGCTCTTATGTGGAAGAAGGCGTCTATGCATAACAGCTGTAGAGCTCACCCCGATGCACACCTCGCATCGGTCCAGGGGTGTAATGTGACCTATTTCGGTTTAGCGCTATGCTACTAACAAGTCAAATATGTCCGCTGCCTGCCGCCTCACATCGCCCCCCTATCACACCTCGCATCGCCCTCCCATCGATCAACAGGGAACATAGATCCAGCCCAATCTCCGCCCGCGGAACTTTTCGGAGAACTTGTTCAGCGTAATCCAACATTAATAGAGTTCGCTCGTGAAATAGTGCTAGCAACTGATCATTCATCGGAGTACTGTTCGAAGCTACAAGAACACCTCGACACCCTAGCATGTGTCCGCAGCATCGCGGCACTACCACAAAACGAGACGGATCATACAATTTCGGTGAAGGTATTCAAATGCCTGCGGATCTAGGACATGGCATTCTAGATACAAGAAGATCCACACAAAGCACTTACAGGGGAAAAGGGTGTCTCAACAATGCGAAGAGAGGCAAGGAAATTTGCAGCAGAGTCGTTCGATATTACAACTTCCTCTGCCTGGTAGGGGCCTGCGGGCTTCCACCCATGCCTCTCGAAAAATTCAACGAGGTCTACAAGAAGCTCCCAGACGGTCACAAGCAAGGTGGTGTGATTAGAACTAGGATACATAAGTATGTTAAAGACTCTCAGGGAAATGACAGACGACATTAGAAATACGATAGTATCTAAATAATTGATCAATGTTATTGACGCCTACCAAGATTACCACCTCCCTAGGGTGCGCTAGATCTGCCAGGTATGGCCCAGCTCACAGTGGAAAGGAAGCTCTAATGTTATGTACATATCCTATGGTCGTCGTCCGATGAGTCTTCGATTACGATTGCGTCATCGGGGTCTTCTTGGAGTGAGGGCCGATCAAACAGGGTGTGAGACTGCGTCATTCTTGAGTAAAACCGAATGAAAGCTAATGCGCCCTCTACCATTAGCCTTTCACGCCATCCAAAAGACGCAGTCGCTTTGAATATGTGCAGCTTGTCACCACGGCCATCTCGGACTTTGGGCACATTTGGCGTTTCAAAATTCGATTTCTGTCAGCTTTAGTATCTGGAGACAGGGACGGGGAAACAAACATACTATAAAGGATTCGAAACGAGACGCAATGGTAGAGATGACCTCATCGTTCTCGCTCATCAGATCGGGAAGAGCCTTGCCAAATAGAGACATATAGTCCATCAGAGCTGGCATAAGTAACACAGGGCGGTGGTACGGTTGATAAAGGCCCCATTCTTCCAGGCTCTTTCGCAACTGGGGAAAGGATTCTTCATGTGATGTTTCTATGTTGCTGCGGTGACGTGCGAGCAAAGCCATAGCCCCTTTACAGAAATCAGGTGGGATAGGCATAACAACATATTTCTTCCAACGAAGGTATGCGACCCAAGTCTCATAAGTCTGGTTTTTTTGGTAGGAGTAATTGAGCGTAGCAAGTACACTGCAAAAGTTGTCGACGATCCTCCTATGTGCGCGCTCGGTTGCTTGCACTGGACAAACGCCATATTGCTGTTCATATAGGGGCTGCACGCCCTCCTCTTTCCAATGTAACAAGTCTTCAAGTCGAAGAGGAACGCTGTAAGGGTTTGGGGGGAGATCCGCTTCATAGACATCCGGCTGTACGAAGACCGCCAGGAACTCTCGGAAAGCCGAAATCTGGAACGTATCAGTGTCAATACAGAAATTCCTCAACACGACTTACGATGATGTGGTGATCAGGCTGCAAATTGTTTAGTGATAGCGCTGAAGCGGAATCAAACATCCCGAGCAAGGCCATGCTTGATGTTGGCATGGGACAAAACGGAGGGTACTGAGCTTACTTGTAGTATATATATCGAATACAAACCATTGACGGTTAATACCCATGTCTAACTCAGCGCGTAGACGGCCGAGACTTCCAGCTCGAATTGGTACGATATAAAGAGCGCTCATAAGATTTGAGGTCTATTCACGATGATCATCACTTCTGTCGGCATCCGAACGCTGTGCTTGTGGCGAATTCAGACCAATTTTGGTTTGATGTCTTGTATAAGGATCGTTAATCTGATCAGCTCAGGACGGTCTGTAGTGTTTTATAGATTCATACACTTCCCGCATACAAAAGTGTGATTCCTACCGCAATTTGATTTGAGACAGCTTTTTGCTTTGTCGGGTTGGTCTGGGAAAGTAGACTGGCACCAGAAAAGACTTTCTGTTGGTGTGATGCTGAGGTGGACTTCGTTCACATATCCTTCTCACGCAAGCCCAAACACCACCCGAAAAAACAAGAGCATGATTGACCAAGAACACCAGACAATAATGAACGACCATGTAGTTGAAAAAACCAAGAAAAGAAATGGCACGAATGCCGACCGCATATCCTCGGGTGCACACATAATTGATACTGTTAATACCAGCATACTAAGCATCTGTATACTGTCACCAGAATCAGGCACTGGCTAAAGTCAGCACTTGTTCATTTGTTAGCATTTGTGCCTTACCATGCAAATTTCCCACGAAGCAGAGATAAGTCGAGAATCCGAAAATTCCCAGCAAAACCATGCTCTAAGGAAGCAGATAACTTGCCAATAGCACCAACAATAATAACACTTCCCGAGTTTTGCGTAAGATCTGATCCGGATACATGCTAATGAACCGTGCAAGCGCTAATCGAGCTGTGAGGAGGAGGACTTGAAGCCAGAAACTCATAATCGGATGCTGTATCAAGCTTGATTCTGTGAACATATACGTGTGTGTGTGTGTGTTTGTGAGAGAGAGAGAGAGAGAGAGAATTCTCCAGTGATATGCACACGATGATTAAAGCTAGGAAGAAAACCCAACGATCCTTAGGTAAGCGCCATTCAATCAGCATAGTGATGCTGCGCACGACAGCATCATAGTGTTCAATGCGTATCGGTTGTCTTCTGGATCTTAGCGCACATACAGGTAGAATGAGACTTAAAAACCACATGTTGCATTGAGAAGTAACGCGACTAGATTTGTTCTCAATCAAACTCGTCGGTAAAGCTCGTGAGAATCAGCACTCATATGGCACATGATTGGCATGGGCAACCGCCGGTAATTGAAATGCCACGATAAAGAGAAATATACAAAGGCTCACTAGATCATGGGTTTCTGCACGGGTGTGGTGATGAAAAAGTAGTAATGCCCTTTTAGGCCATGTTAGCATCTATTTTAATGAGCTTCACCGAACCACCATCAGCCACACAGAACTGAACGTCCTCACGCTCCTCCTCAAATACCTCAGGCACCTCGCTACCGACGATGAAATGAAATGTCTTAATAATGCCGTTAACCTATATTTGTCAGCTCCAGCACTCGAATCTTGTAAGGAAGCTACCTGGTTGCATTTCGTCAGGCCCAATCCACAATTTGTTGTCACGTTGGGAAATGCCTTCAGTTCTTTGTTGCGATGGAGAGGATGCGAGTCACATCCAGGCTCGTTTCCACTAGACGTGTTGTCCTCTTCAGAAGCGTCTTCAGGGTATTGTGGATCAATACTTTTCTGTCGAGCTGGTGATGGTATCGAGGAGATCTCTTGTGTGGTTGAAAGGTCCGAGCAGTTGTCCTTGGTGCCTAGGTCGAGCGACGCAGTAGGTATTCGAAGTAATGTATGATCACAGGCAGTGGAGCAAGGGAAGGCCGCACTACCGAAGGCAAGATCTTCGGGGCTTGCTTTGGGTCTGATTATCATTTTGACGTGTTCCCAGAGCGGTGCCCAACAAGTACGCTTGTGTCTCCGTGGCCTAGCAGTCATGGAGGACGAAGGTTGGGCCATTTGGAATCGGATGTCGTGCAGGAAGGCAAACTGGTGAAGGATACAAGAGCGGTGAGATGACGGATGCAGGACGTATCAACCTCGCAGGAAGGGTTTATAACATATGAGTTGTCATGCCCAAAATTATGAGCATCTTGTTCTAAGTCTGGTAACAGAAGAACATGTCTCAGGAAGATATTGAGGATAAAGAAGAGCACATTGCGATATTGCAAGAAGCGAATAGGTGCTGAAACTGCCGACAGAAGTGTCCAGGTTCGCTGCCAAAGGTGCATAATATATGTTATATTCAGACGCAACGCTGACCCAGTGGGATTGTCAGCCTGACATGACGTACACCGTTCATCGCATTGAACGTGTGCCTGTCCAATGAGATGACCAATTCTGTTATGCTATAACAAAACGCTTGATCTCATTGGCTGCATGCAAGATCAAGGATGTATCACAGGACGCTTACCAATTACGGAAAAGTGCTGACTTTTCGATTACAGAGCTCGTGCGAACGCGACCCCTTCTTGCTAGTTGTACATTTCTTCTCTCATGGAAAACCTTCAAGCTGCTATCGATACTCTTCGCACCGCTTCCGAGCACGATCTCCAGGCGCTTCTAGCTGAGCATGGTCAAACGCGTATACAGCAAGCCATTCAGCAACTCCAAAAAGTGATCCCAAAGTCAACGGTCGATCCGAGCAAAGGTTTATCAAATCAGCTAGACCAAAAACATGGAGACATTCATAAGTTCTTCACACAATCGCCCAAGGATGCTGTAGGGACACCGCCAGAGAACGAAATCGATTTCAGGTTAATGGACATCTGGATGGTTGAGGGTAAACGCACGAAATCCCTCCAAGATCAATTTCGACGATTCCTCGCAGAGCGGAGCCTCGCCCTACAGTTCGACCAATTCAATCCAGGAAAGCTCCAATTTATGATAAAGAATCATACCTTCGATGTGCCAAAAGGGCGCCATGCATCATCCCGGTCGTTTGCACGGCATTTGTCCATTCAACACGTAGAGGTCGTGCTTCAAGCGGTCCATGTTGGGCTTAGATATCTCGTCCTTGAAAATACATGTGGTTCTGCCATCTCATGGATCCTTGGTTTCTTTCGTAAGGAAGTCAAATGCATGAAATTCTCGTCTGTCCGAGAGGCCATAAGCTGCTACGTAGGATTCGAGGAACGAGAAGATTTCTATGAGTGGATGCAAGAAGTTTTGGAGCTCTACGATTCTCAGAATCAACGAACCCCTCGGAAAAGACAAAAGACTTCAAAAGATAGTAAGTCCAATCCGTCAGAAAACCTGCATATATCTAATCATACTGCAAGTAACTACGTCCGGACGCGAGACTGCCGCTTCGTTTAGTTTGGAGCATGACAACTTGATACAAGGCAGACCGGTGGGCGAAGTGAATACGACAATTCCTCCACATCATGAGCCAGAAGGCCAGCAGACGTCAATGGGGGGTGTCGTTGGCTCGAATTCATGTGTCCATGATGGAACGTTACCAGATCCAGACCTGAATTCGACGCGTACTGGATCCAATCATAGTGACGTCATTGCCAAGATTGGCAGTGATCGAGCACCTGAACCGTCTCCAGGTCCTATTACCACAACGGAAAGTAAAGAGTATTGGACATATCTAGCAGCGACCGTCGACCATATTCGGACGACTCTCGGCCAACGTATCATGGATGCGATCGAGTGCGCTCCTACACGATTGCGCGAGCGTACGACGATTCACACGCTTCAAGTCACAGAATGTGTGAAAACAAAACTTCCGAAGCATAATTTTCAAGACGCCATTATCTCAGTAGACATCGGACCTGCCCGCGAATTTGCGGAGACCTTGTTTCCTGCGAGGGTGTTTCCAGTCGATCCAGAGATGAACACAATGCGTGCACTTGCGCAAGCAGAAGCAGAAACTTTACAATGTGATCATCTGTGTTTCACGCTGACCGGGGCGTCCTTCGCTGCTATTAAAGATCTCTTTCCCCCTCAAATACATAACGCGATTGAGAAGAGCCGACTGCGAACGTGGGAGAAAGACCATCAACTCCACACTTACACAGATTGCGTAACGATGGTCGTACGACGCGAAGAGCCGTATTTTGGCACAATCCATTTGCGTCTTGAGTTTGTTGAGAGTTTTCGCATAGTCAAAGCTTTGTATTGAGAGCTCTTTCTTCTAATGTCATCATCCAGATTTCCACTTTCCCCTCACAATGTAAACTCCCACTTCCGCGGGAAGGTCCATCTCTCCATTTCCTGTTGTCGACCAAATGTCCTGACCCTTTATGTCTTGGAAAGCGATGTTTTCGCAATCTAAGAAATATATTTTCCTCTCATAACTCTCCGCTAGTATGTACTCGGCCGGTTGTTTCGTACATCCATCGAAAAAGTCTGTGGAGACTGTAAGACTCTTCCAACGTTTGCGCTTCATTCATTAGCCATGTCGTATTGGCTAAGCGACCAACATACCAACGACTCCTCCGATATTGCTTCGTCTGCCATCCGCGTTCGTGCGGATTTGCTTCAGGGTAGATGTAGATAATTCGATGCTTTGTGGCCCGCGTGATATGAAGCCTTCCCTAGAATGTCAGCGTTGATATCAGCTTCATGAGTCACGGTTCTCGTACTAGTTGTGTATTAAGCGCTGCAGTCAACTGTGTCGTGAAGTGTGCGAACTGAAAGATGTTGGGCGTCAGCGGCCCAGTTTGCGACAAAGTGGGGCATAGTGCCACATGCCCTCCAGCGTCGGGCAACTGTAGCAACATATACTATGTCGAACAAAACTCTCCGTCCGGCATAGAACGCAGACTACTCAGACAGTCAAGAAGAATAAAATGATCTCACAGTGCGATTATTGTATCATTACTCATATGCAATGTGTCTGATTGGCGGTTGTTCCTGTGCGAGGCATCTAAGAGAGCCGGGACTCTCCCTGCTCCGATAATGCTGTATGCGCATGATCGTGAAGCAAGGCAGCTCAGACCAGTTCCAACACCACAGCCATAGGACCAACTCTAAATTAATATTATCACGCAGCATGGAGCGCAATACGGCAAGCTCATATCCGGCGGCATAGCCAAAATTGTTAAAGATGCAAGCCGAAGAGCTATGACTGATGCAGGATACGCACGCGCGAGCACAGGCCGCTAACCCACGCTAGGATCAGAGGCGGTTATAATTCCTCTGACATCGTACGGAACCATGTTCAACGATGACTAGCAGTTTCAAGTCACCCATGACGACTGGTGGCTACGCAGAATTTCTTTGGTGCCCCCTCGCAAGTAATTCGCTTTAGGTCCGTCTCAACACGAGCTTCTGCCTATATTTCCTTACGTATCGGTTTATGATTCTCAGTCGCACCTGACGTCGTACACAGCGATCGATCAATGCTCATTCGACCTTGTGGCAGATTTACTTGTACCGAACTCCCATCAAATGTCGCCGTTTATTCTACTGACACGTCAGAGAGCTTGTCTAGAGGTAGGAGTCTTTGGGGCTGTCTGGACGGGCGCCTGTGTTCTAGTTTGTCGACTTCCACTCCAGCCTCGAGGGTTTCGTACGTCTGCGCTCGATGGGGAAGCGGGAGTGTTAGAGGCGTAGGAGATGGTTGGAGCGGCTGAGGCTGCATAGGGAGTTCTCAGGGCTATGCTGAAAAGTGGATGCCCTCTCGCGTGTTGGTCTCCGCTTCAGCTTCTTGCTTTGGGCGCTCCTATTTGGTGCGGGCTGGCCGAGGATTGGAATCGCGTTACTTCGAAAGGCAGCGCGTGGCGTAGAGTTCACGGTGGGGGTCTTCTTGTGGAGAGGCGCCTGTTGTTCTTTGCGAGCGCAAGCGTGGATTGCGAGTCCATAGGCATCGGGAAGAGAGAAGCTCAATGCGTGGTGCAGCTCTGGGTATAAGAGGGAGGAAGATTGAAGAATGAAATGCGAAGTCGGACAGGGAGGAAGGTGAGTACTCGTGAGGGGTGAACGCTAGTCTGAAACAAACAAAAAATACGCTAACCAAAGAAGGTTAGATATGATTTGGCAGATCAAATGCCCGGAACAGATTCTGGCCTGAGGCGCCAAGACGAAGGGACATAGGAGCGCTTGGCGAAAGCAAATGGGTGGCGTAAAGTGATAAGGGGAGCATACAGTCAACAGCGAAAGAAAACACGACAACAGCGAGAATTTCACTTTTTGGAATTAACGTAGTACAACGCGCGCAAAACGTCCGCTAGAGACGGCTTTCGACTAGCCAGCACTCAGAAGTAGCGCCCACTGCTGCTGAGGCGTCA